GATGCGATTTTTTTATGGGTCCGACAAGACTCTGTAAACTGTCCCGACATTGATTCCGGTCAGCTGCTACATCGGTTCGGCATGACCCGTAAACTGTCCTGCTACATCGGTCCGACATGACCCCGTAAACTGTCCTGCTACATTGGTCCGACATGACCCCGTAAACTGTCTTCTACCACGGTCCGACATGACCCCATAAACTGTTTTTCTACAACGGTCCGACATGACCCCGTAAACTGTCTTCTACCACGGTCCGACATGACCCCATAAACTGTTTTTCTACAACGGTCCGACATGACCCCGTAAACTGTCTTCTACCACGGTCCGACATGACCCCATAAACTGTTTTTCTACAACGGTCCGACATGACCCCGTAAACTGTCTTCTACCACGGTCCGACATGACCCCATAAACTGTCTTCTACCACGGTCCGACATGACCCCATAAACTGTCTTCTACAATGGTCCGACATGACCCCATAAACTGTCTTCTACAATGGTCCGACATGACCCCATAAACTGTCTTCTACAATGGTCCGACATGACCCCATAAACTGTCTTCTACAATGGTCCGACATGACCCCATAAACTGTCTTCTACAATGGTCCGACATGACCCCATAAACTGTCTTCTACAATGGTCCGACATGACCCCATAAACTGTCTTCTACATCGGTCTGACACCACCATACAGTGTCCTCTACAACGTTATGACACCCCATACAGTGTCTTCACCAACGGTCTGACACGACCATACAGTGTCTCCTATCTTTTTTTATTTTTATGTATTTTCTTGTTTTGCTCCTCTCTCCAAACTCAAGTTGGTTAGTTTCTATCCTCCTTGAGTTTGCGGGGGGCTGTTAGAATTTACCACTCACCTACTACCTCCACTATTTTTCTCCACACCTACCACCTCCACTATCACACACTCCACTACCATCTTCTCCTCTATATATAGGAGTTGTAATATACAGAATAATATCAATCTTGTAATCCATCAATCAATAATACATCAATTTATTTTGACAAACCAAGAAACAACTGCTTGCTTCTTACTTTTCCATGATGTAAGATGATCACCATAAAAAGTACATAAGCTAGAAGTAGAACGCCTATCCGTTCTAGATCCTGCATAGTCAGCATTAGTAAAACAGGAGAGTCCAGATTGAGGATCAGTAGTGAAGAACAGTCCCAAGCCAAGAGAGGTCTTCAAATATCTCAAGATGTGATGAACCGCATCAAGATGCTCTGTACGAGGTGCATGCATGAATTGGCTAACCACACTAACTGCAAATGTCAAGTCAGGTCTAGTATTGGTCAGATAGATAAGACGCCCAACAAGACACTGATATATGCCTAGGTTCTCTAGTAATTCGCCAGACTCTGATGTGAGCTTGACAATGGGATCCATAGGAGTAGAAGCAGGTTTACACCCCAACATAAAAGTATCCTTAAGTACGTCAAGAGTGTACTTCCTTTGAGATAAGGAAATCCCCTGCCATGAGCGAGCCATCTCAATCCTAGAAAATACTTGAGATTTCCCAAATCCTTAATATCAAAGGTGTGTCCCAAATCCCGTTTTACTTGATCAATGCCAATAGAGTCATCGTCGGTGAGAATGATATCATTCACATAAACCAACAAGACTATACACTGACCTGTAGAATTACGACAGTTGAAGCACATATGGTCTAAATCATGGCACTGAACAAAGCCCATGGAGATGATGACTGAGCTAAAACGACCAAACCAAGCTTGTGGAGACTGCTTCAAGCCATACAAAGACTTGCATAGTCGACATACTTTCCCTAAATACTTCATCTCAGCTCAAAAACCAGGAGGAGGGGCCATATAAATCGTCTCAAGAAGATTTCCATATAGGAAGGCATTATTGACATCAAGCTGATAAAGGGGGCCAAGAATGGGATGCTACAAGGGAGATAAGTAGACGAAGAGATGTAAGCTTGGCAATGGGGGGTTAGGACTAAAAAAAAGAGGATCCTCACAAAAAAATCACATCCAGAGTGTGACGAAAGTGATGAGACACGATCAAAACATTTATATCCTTTAGACATGGAAGAATACTCCAAAAAAACACAATGAATAAACTTGTCATTTAACTTAATGCGAATGGGATGCCGGTCCTAAACAAAACATGTCCACCCAAAAACACAAGATAAAAGAGGAAAAAAGATAGTATTAGGCATAAGAATATGAAATGGTGTAAGGCCATGTAACACACGACTAGGAGTCCTATTAATGAGATAGACTGCAGTAAGAACAACCATGTGCCAATAAGACTTTGGCACATGCATACCACGAAGAAGACAACGTACAACAGACATAATATGACGATTTTTACGTTCGGTTACACTATTTTGTTCAAGGGTCCAAGGACATGAAAGTTGTTGAAGAATACCCGTTCGATTAAGGTGGGAACGAAAATCGTTGGAGATGTATTCCCCACCATTATCAGAGTGGATGTTCCTAACAACTGTACAAAATTAGGTCTTAACCATTTGCAAAAACTTAATGAAGATGGGAAACACATCAGACTTGCGGTGAAGTAAATAGACCCAAGTGCACCTAGTGTGATAATCAATAAAAGTCACATAATAACGATGACCCGAAAAAGCAAGAACGGGAGAGGGACCCCAAACATCAGAATGAATAAAGTCAAAAGCACTAGGGCCCGTGTCACATGTGGTATATAACTAGTACGGATATGTTTAGACAACTCACGAGTAACCCAATGAAATTTAGAATCCTTGCAAACTTTATTTAATAAAGGGAAAAGTTGACATAAATATTGAACGTTAACATGACCCATACAGGCGTGCCATAACTCTAAAGTTAGAACACGCAAAACACAAGATATAGAAGGAAGCAAAACAGACACCTAAAAACTAGCTAAAGTCGAAGAAGGTTGGTCCGGTGGATCCCCAAAGTAGAATGACCCGTCGCACTCATATCCCCTGCCAAAAATCCCCTGCGAACTCAGGTCCAGTAAAAGATATGAAGAAGGTAAGAAGATGATAGCGCAATTAAAGGTTTTGGCAAGACGACTAACAAATAAGAGATTATAAGCAAACTTGGAAACATGCAACATAGAAAATAAAGTGATATCAGGGGATAAAGACACAACACCCTTATGTTGGACAGAAGAGCAAGAACAATCAGCAAGACACACAGATTGGGCACAAGTGGAGGGTTCAGGACAGGAAAGAAGAGAAAGCACACCAATCATATGATCATTAGCCCCAAAATCCATGAAGGACTAGCAGACCGAACACGGAAAGCAGTAAAAGTACCTGTAGCAAGGGTGGCAGTAGAGGATGATGGACCAAGAGAACCAATGGTGAGGGACCCAAGTTGAGTTTGAAGTTGACCAATATGAGTCTGTAGCTATGTTGTAGGTTAGGGACATTAGGAGACTCAAAAGCAAGAGTAACTTCCACCAACATAGCAGTGCGAGCAAAGCCAGAACCACATGGAGCAGGACCACAAGGACGAAAAGGGCAGGCCTCAACTCAAGATGAAGTTTGAAGTAACGGGTGTCCATGCGCACCACAATGATGACAAGTAACAGAACCAATGGAACTTCGAGAACCAGCACTCATAGCAAGAGCTATCTGATCTGCTAAAACTAGAGGGACTGAAGGAACACTAGGCTGAACCAATTGCCGACAACGCTCATCACTGTCAATACTGGCAAAAGCCTTATAAAGAGATGGCATAGGTGATGTGTTTAGAATTTGAATTCAAAGAGATTCAAATTCATAGTTTAAACCCATGAGAAACTGATAAGTGTGTTGTCCGGCAAGCCCCTTGGACACAATGGAGGCTGCTTCTAGTGGAAGGTTAGTCAAAGGCTCATATTAAGCAAGTTCCGTCTGAAGATATCCAAAGAATTCAGCTACAGAACGGCCAAGAGAGGATTGAGAGGCTCGTGCTATATCCTAGTAAAGCTCGAAGATACGTGCATCATTGTGAGCATGAGCGTACACCTGTGACAATGCTTGCCAAAACCTCAAAACTGTATCGCAATAAAGAAACATATGATAAATTCGATCTTCCATGGAATTGAACATCCATCCCAATATAGTGCAGTTATCAATATCCCACTGAGCACGTATAGGGTCTGTCATAGCTGGCAGGGTAATAGTAGATAAAAGCCAATGAGTCTTTCCCTTTCCCCCAAGATAGAGTTTAAGGGAACGGCTCCAAGCATCAAAAATTTTCCCATCCAACACCACACTCGTAATACAATGAATAGGAGTGTGATAGGAAAGAGAAAAATTAGTACTTAGAACAGGCACAGGTTTGGTGGAGACCGTAGTAGATACCTCAGTAGGAATGGTATAAGATGAGTTATCCATAGGGAGATGATGAGGGTTGAAATAGATAGCAATACAGCAATACAGTCCGAGTAAACCAGAAAAGCGGGAAAAAACTCAACAGCTAAATGCTACCGAATAAATCTGGTAGCCCACAAAAAGAAAAGGCAAAAAGAGGTCCAGAAAAGTGCTTAAAGCATCAACGCTATATCCTGGAGAACAGAGAAAAAAGGGGTTCAGACCACCCTAAAGAGGATGTCGAAGTACTCTAGGCCAAGATGAGACCTGGTCAACAGCAGTAAAGCCCTCGGCAGGTGTAATACAGTCTTGCCGAGGGGTATAGAAGGGTGGGTAAGTGGTTTCGGGTGGTCTAGGAGTAGCGGGTTAGGCTGTCGGGTGGTCTAGAGGGGAGAGGTGGTCCGTTGGCTACTGGAGCAAGAAGAAAGAAGATGAAGAAACTACTGGACAGTGAAGAACAGGGGCCGAGAGCGAGGAGGGGGTGGTCTAAGGTTTTTGTGTTTTGGCTCTGATACCAAAAAGGATGAAAAGAATTATTTTGACTTACCTATGAATGAAGTAGAGCCTTGAATTTATAATAAAACAATATTACAAAATAGGAAACGAACAAAATAGGAAACGAAGATAAAAAAATGCATTAAATGTGTGATGGACATAATCACAGATTTTATACACACTACTCTAATTACAATCTCACTATTTCCTAATTCCAACACTACCATAATTATAATATCACTATTTCTTAATTCCAACATCCTCCCTGCTACCAAACCCCTCTTTCTCTCTCCCTCCCTCCTCTGCATCTCACGCCTAGAGGCTTATAAAAGTGTTTTATAAATTATTTTGTTATAAAACATAGTCACCACATAAATAGGGTTAATGATTACCTTCTTTCTAATTTTGTGATATTGTCAACATGGCGAAATCCATGCTGCAGAATGCCTAAATCCTCTGGATAAAGTAAATTCATGTTAGCATACAAACACAAAATGCTAAGCAAGTTATTATGAGAATCAAAGAGAGAACTTATAAGAAAAAAATGAATCCCAAGAAATTGCACTGAAAAACAAAAATATGTCTATAAAACTATGGCATTATGGTAACTATGTAACCATCCTCTGTTTTGGTAATCCAACATCCAAGAGAATTCCCACCCCGACTAGCAAAGTATTTTCACACTTATAACCATAGGTTCACAGTAACATAATTCTTAACTAGCTACCAATAAACAGGAAATTAACACATACATTTTACCCCAACACAAGAAGAGCAATTCAATTGTCCTACATTATTAAAGGTCTCATTAATCCTCAAATAAGAACATCCAAGTCTGAAGTTAAACGAAAATCCCCATCACCCTCAAACAGGATAACCCCAACTTACACTTCGCTAGTACTCTAGTTAAGCAAAAACAACAAAGCCTAAGTAATTCTAAACTACATTCTTGTTCGAGGGATCCATGATTGAATTTAGCATATACAACAAGCCTTTAAACCACTAGATTACCCTGAGTGGATTCCATTGCTTCCCTTTTTAACTAAAATTACAATAGCACCTTTTGTAATCAACAAAATCAAATCCACTGTTCCCATTTTTTATTCCTTAATTCTCTCTTGATTTACCTTCTCACTCGCGTCTTACTCGTTCCTTGAAGACACCAATAAATATCCATTTACAACTAAAAACATTAAAACATAATTCAATTTCTTATCCATCCTATTAAACTATTTCATTGTATTCATACATTCCTTATTCTTCTCACCACCTATTATATTCTTCCACATTTATTTACTTACTTAATTTTTCTTAATAATTATATTTCAAATTAATTGCTCACATGCACTCATGTGCATATAATTTAGCCACCCAAACATGCCATCTTATCATGTGATATATTCGACGTACCATTACTTTCCGTTGACACTCCAAACCAATGTACTCAAATTCTATTATATGCTATCTACTATTACTTCACCCACCAAAATATAATAATTTAATAATGTATTATTTTGTGTCGGGATATCACACTCTCCCCTCTTAAAAATTTTGTCTCGAAGTTTACCATCCTTAATACCTTGAAACTCAATAGACATGCTTCCGTTGCACACTCAAATAAAAATTATTAACTTCTTATGTTTAAGAGACTTGAATGATCACATTCTCAAATTTAAAGTTCAATACCCATGCAAGACAACGACTCTCAAAACCTCGAAGTCACACCTATGTCTGATAAACACAATTCTAACTTCTATCTTCTTAGACCTCAAGTACTTAGTACACTGAATCTTGCACACATTTAACTAATCAACTGCACAATTATTCCTCAATCCATCAACAAAATATCATTAATAAATGAGTGCACCCACCCAACTAACAATTAAAATATTGTTATCCAAATATCCCATAAGTCGTACGCCTTAAATTATCCTAGTCTTTCATATGCTAACTTGTCACTCTTAAATTTAATGAATTAATACAACTAAATCTTTAAAGTACAAATTACCCAATCACTCCACGGACCAAGTTCGAACAACGGATTGTAATTACTACCGAATCCAAAATCGACAATAACATTATTGCGCCAAAACCATGAGTTCTCTAACAATAACCATATTTCCTCCCCTCCCATCTCCACATGATTTGTTTTGCACTATATATGTTATTCCCCCCACAAAATTACTCAGCCAAAAGGGAAAACGGAGGAGAAGGTCTCTCAGTAAAGAATTGGCACCATCATTCTCTAATGAGGAATTGTCATCATGTCCTACCTAGTAGATCCCACTCACTAGATAAAATAAGACAACAATTGCAACACCAAATACAAATACTGTACATCTACATTTGAACAATGAACTAGCTTCTACCACTCTTTTACTTATCAAACATCAATTAATTCAGGTTCAATGATTTACCAAAATCTCACTGATGTGCAAGCTCCCAAATCAAAGGTATACTGGGTCGTTACTTGAAAACCAAATCCTGTTGCCCAAATATTTTCTTAGTATCAACATTCCCATATGATGTACCATGCAAACACATAATATAGATGATCATAACTTCAAAATCAAATATAACTCAACCATAACCCCTAATCACCCACAAGTGTCAATTCATGGGAAAATTGAGAACAGAAGAACAAAAAAACAGAGCAATTGTCAATTCATAGGAAGCAAATCAGCAACATATTTACATAGATTGAGATGATTGCAAAGCAAAAGAAAGGAATTGTTACGAACAAGATCTAAGCTCTACATTTTCATCGACATGTACACATGTACAGAGAAGGGAAACAAAATATTATAAAAATCTCAGAATATATTAGACTAGAAATGCAGTGTATATATATATATATATATAGAGGGAGAGAGAGAGAGAGAGAGAGATACCTGTGAGAGCTGCGGTGGTCAAAGAGGACAGCGTTGGTGGAGAATGACGGCTATGACAGTGGTGTATATATATAGAGAAAGAGGGGATACTGATGGCAAAGGACGGCAATGGTGGTGCTGGTTGCCGGCAGTGGCGGATGGGCCACGATGGTGGAAGAAGATGGCCGTGACGGTGCTGTATGGGAGAACGGCGGTGAGCGGAGGAGGTGAAGGAGCGTTATGGTTTTAGGTTAAATAAATAAATAACACATAAATATTAAATAGTGTGAATTGTGGATTAGTCCAACAATTTTAATTTTTAATTATTTAAAGAATTTGAAAAAAAAAATCTATTTTACTTGTTTAGGTCGCAAAATTAAGAGCAATGATTGAGACTCCCACCCCCATAAAATCCCCACAAATCTGAACCACTCATGATGTGGATTCTATACATATATGAGTGGGCCCCACACATACATGAAGGGTCAAGATCACTTTGAGAGTGTGGGGGTCATCCTCAAAGAGGATCCCAAACATTTTCCTAAAATTAAAAAAGATGTAATAAAATATATAGTTAATAATTTAACGATTAGGGTTGGGGGTTTCACATTTGGGTTTAGAGTTTATGATTTTGGGTTTGGGATTTGAAATTTCGGGTTAAGAGATTTAGGGTTTTGGGTTTTCATTGGTTTAGTGATTTTAGTTGTTAGGGGTTTTAAGATTAGGACTTTAGGATTTAAGGTTTAGAGTTTAGGATTTAGAATTTTTTAGCATTTTAAGATTTAGGGTTTAGGGATTAGCGTTTAGGGTTTAAGATTTAAAATTTAGACTTTAGAGTCTAAGGCCTAGGCCCACTACACTAAACGTTAAACCCTAAACCCTAAATCCTAACCCGTGTCACTACACTAAACCCTAACCCCTAGATCCTAGATCCTAAACCTTAAATCCTAAACCCTAAACCTTAGGGCTCCGTTTGTTTTCAGAGATAGAATGGAGGAGATTCATAGTGAGGGAATTTGTAACAACCCTGACCTTTGATTAACTGTTAAACCACGATTAAGGATGCCTAATACGTAATTAAAGGGAAATTCTGTGTTAATTGCATGTGTGTTGCATTATTTATGTTTATATCTGTCTGCTGTAGGAATATATGTTTGTATTTATGTTTTGTTCTGCGAATTAGAGGCTGTATCGGCATCCGATAATAAAATTGACTGAAATTACGTGTTATTTAGGATTTTTAGAAATTTATGGTAAGATTAATTGGAACTCGATTCAAAACCAAAATAATTAGAATAAATAATGTAAATTAATTAGTCACTAATGAAGTACCACTAATCAAGCCTATATAAGGCACAAGTAAACCCTTGATTTCACTTTACACTCTCATTCCCTCATCTTTGAGCTCAAAAACGTGGAAGAGCGAGAGAAGGAAGAAAATTGAGATCAAATGTTAGAAAAAGGGAGAGTTGCTAGGAATTGTTGGAGAATTGAAGAGAATTTGGGAGTTTAAGCTTCTACACTCGTGAATTCAAGACTTTAGATAAGAATTTGGACCTTAAACTTTGTATTCAAGACTTTAGTGCAAGAATTCTAGAGAATGAGGTGTTTATTCATGAGAATTGAGCTTAAATTAAGGAATTCGAGAGCATTCCATGCATGCATGCATGCATATTTTCTTACATTTTGAGTTTAATTGTTAAAAATTCTCACATGCATGTCCCAATTCTACCTTAGTTTTGAGAATTTATCATGTTTTCCATCAATTTACCTTGGTTGATTATGATTTGGAAGCTTTGAACTCAATTCATTACTTACACGTTATGTTTCAAAGTTTTGGGTTTGAATTTGCACAATAAGCATGTTTTTGGGCTTTGATCTTGTGAAATGAATTTGAATTCTCAATGTTTTGCAAGTTTACACATATTTCCTTAAGTTTTGGGGCCCTAAGGTTGCATTTTGAGACTTTGAATTTGAGTTTTGAAGGTTGGAAGCAAATTTGGAAATTTCAGAATTCTGCTTCTCCGCTCGAGCAACAAAACCTGCGCTCGAGCGACCACTCTTTGTTTTGCACTTCCGCTCAAGCGACCAAAAGTTGGCTTAAACGTAAATTGCATGCTCCCAAAAGTTTACAAGTTTTGCAGATCGCTCGAGCGACCAGAGTTGCGCTCGAGCGAAACCTCAGTCTCACGCTAGAGCGACCGTCGAGCGTGCATCGAGTGGAAAAATCAAGCAACCAATACTTTTTGCTAAGTTTACAGACCGCTCGAGCGACAGAAGTTGCGCTAGAACAACCACCCTTATGTTTAAACCTCCGCTCGAGCGAAGGAAACTAAGCTCGAGCGAGGACCCTGTTTTCAGCAAATTTGACTAAGTGTTGCACAGCATGTTTTGGCATCCTCATTGCATCTTAGGAATCCTCAAGCCCTAATTAAAACATAATAATGAGGATAGGCCTTAAAAACACACTACGAACGAAATAAAGTAAGTTAAGTACTATATGAGTGTGTGTTTCAAAATGTATCTATTATGTTTGTCTAGGTCATGCGCCGTAAGCTATCCGGTTATCCGTTCTGTCTATCTACTATTGGAGCCATCTGTGAGTAATAACTTTGTAAAGCTATGTTTAATTTATAAGTATTTTCTGAATGATATAAGATGATCTATTTTCTGAAATATTATTTTCTGTATGAATGAATGGCTGTCCAATGTTTTTGAAATGTATTCGTGGCATCATTAGCTTTAGATGACATCTGTTATCTGTTCTGTTATGTCCCAATTAGGGCCAACTGTACATCTTATGAGCCAATTGTTATGGATCCTTCGGTATACGTCCCATTTATGGGCCAACTGTACGTCTCATGAGCCAACTGTATCGTCTTCACACACGTGAGTTAACTATATGCTTTTATGGCCGTCTCTCTATGGGTCAACTGTTTCTGCTAGTGCTAATGAATGTACCACCTATGATTAATTGCAAATTCTGATTATGAATATGATTCTGAATCTGTTTTTGTTATGAACTCCGATTTCTGAACATGACTATAAATTCTGTTTTTGTTAACTACTGAATCCTGATTTTTATAATTGTATGGACAACGTTCATTAAACCCTTTACCTTGTTATTATTCACTGGACTCTCGCTCACTATTTACTTATGTATGTAGGTGATCAGGCGCATGACCAGGCTCAGAGTTGATGACCTGGAGTTTTGGTTTTGTCAGTCATCTTTTGTGCCTCCCGAGGAGGTTTCGAATGTCATGTGGTCATGTTTTGTGGACATATAAGACTTGTTTTCTTTTTAGATTTTGAACAAGTTTTCTGTTTATCTGTATTTTGGGCTAAGCACTCTTTTGGCTAAATCTGTAATGAATGTGACGTGTAACTACTGTAATTGTGACGTCATGTGTATGTATATAAAGTTTTTTTGAAATTTTTATTCCATGTATGTCTACACAGCTCAATGGACTATGTATATATTATATATTTGCTTCCGCAGCCCCTTATTATGTGATAATCCGTTCAGAGGCTTATGGTGATCCAAGAATTACTGGCCGGTTACGACGATAAACCTATAGGGGCGGGTTTGAGTCGAGACATGATTAATAGTGAGGAGATTAAGTAAAATTATGCTTGTTTTGACGATAGTTGTTAGTTTAATGATTGTTAAATTATTTTTATATAAAATAATAAAACAAATAAAAAAATACAAAAACATTAAACATTAATATTCAAAAAAAAATGCCCAACATGTAAAAAATTAAAAAAAAATTAAAAAAAAATTTAAAAAAATTCTAGAAAAAAATAAAACAAATGAAACAATGAATTTATTTAACAAAAGATTAAATATTAATATTCAAAAAAAAAAATATTCCCAACATGTAAAAAATAAAGCAAAAAATTTTTAGTCTGGCGGACTATTTTTCTAATACCACCTCCACCTCCACCTCCACCTCTACCTCTACCTCTACCTCTACCTCTACCATCCCAATCCCCCTTCCAAGGCCCAATCTAATCCCCTACTCCATCTCAATCCCTTTCCCAAATCTACAAACAAACACAACATTAAATGGGTCCCACCTCTACCATCCCTCCCTCTATACCCCAAAACAAATGGGGCCTAAACTCTAAACCCTAAACCCTTCTTGACATTTGTGGCTAAGAAGCACGGATATTTCTCAGGTCTATGTTTGTGTCCAGCATTGACAATCATTGGACACTTCTGGACATTTGTCGGACACGTCCAAATGTGTCATTATTTTTAAACACGCATTGGGTAATTGAGGGGATACAAATGTTCACCCCTTAGACATGCATGAAACACATTATGAGTTTAAAGAAAATAACTTCGAAGACACAATGATAAAAAGAAAAAATATATATAAATTTATTCTTTTAAATTCTTCCTTCTTTATACTTTAGGAATTAGTGTTATGTTACATTTTTATATTATCTTGGAATGAAATACTTTTATGTATGGCATAATAAATATAAAATCATATATTTTGTGTCCTGCATTTTTCTAAAACTAACTTTTCGGTAAGTCACACGTCGTGTCTATGCTTATTAGCGGTATGAAAACCTAGGAAGCATGGGTACGGGTGCGGCATGATACAAGTACACCGATACAGCAAACTCTTTAAAGAAGTAGGGTATGGGTACTGCTGGGTACGCCAAATCCTTTTTTTTAAAGCTAAACATCCAACATACAAATTAAAATTTTAACATCATAATTAAAAAGAGAAATTACAAAACCAAAATAATTTGTGAATTCTTTCACTTCATTCGAGTATATAAATTTTCAAATATTCAAGTAACAATTTAAAACCACCAATATTATGAAAGTAATTACAATGAAATAAATACATCAGAATCAGTTTATGAACCCTAAATTTAAATGTTCCTTAATCTTGTTTTCTTAGATTTTAAATTTTTTTTATCCTTTATTTTATATAATTCTGATTGTGTCTACTATAGAATTATATCAAAAGAAAAAAGAAAAAAAAAATCAAATTTTGGACAGATCAGAAAAACAATAATCAAAGAAGAAGATAATCAAAGAAGAGGAGATTGGCTACAAGAGCAGGTAAGAAAACTCACCGAAACAAGAAAAATCAGACGTTGGACAGATCTGGTTGTTTGCTGCGAAAAAAGAGGAAAAAAATCTGGAAAAAAAAATCAAAGAAAGAGAAAGAAGAATCGAAGAAGAAGTTGAAGGATCGAAGAAGAGGAACCAAGAGAAACTCACAGGAACATTGAGCTTTGCCGTCGACCAACACGTTCGAAGGAGAGTTCAATCGTCGACTGTGTTCTTTCTTCGAACTCGTCGACTGTGTTCTTCGCTAGATATAATCGAATCAAAACAATAAACAATTTAAATTTGTGTTGTGTTTTTATTATTACAAAAGAACCCAAGTTATTTAATTTCTTAAAATTGACAAAAAAAATTGCTTCGATACCCTTACAATTGTTGAATATCTTGTTTTTTACCTCAGTGTACCTAAAAATGTAGTTATCACAAACCAAGCTTCTACATATCATATAAAACATACTCGATGCATTTTTGTCGTACTTAGTACGCGTACAGCCATACCCATCCCTAGGGCTGTGCAAAATACAGTCCAACCAGCTAAAACCACACCGATCCACATCAATCCGTACCACTCTAGGGTTTAGGGTTTAGGATTTTAGGATTTTAGGGTTTTGGGTTTTGGATTTAGGGTTTAGGGTTTTAGGTTTAGGGTTTAGGATTGAGGGTTTAGTGTTTAGGGGTTAGGGTTTAGGGGGTTTAGAGTTTAGGGTTAGGGTTTAGGGGTTAGGGATTAGGGGATAGGGTTTATGGTTTAGGGAAGAAGCAAGCATTAAAAGGCTTTAACCATTCCATTAATATCAATGTAAGATAAATAGCATGCTAATCAGTGACAGTCATCTAAAGCTTCCGTTTCATAATTAGCAAAAAAAAAAGGGGGAGGTTATGCAATATGCATTTCATAACTTGTGTTTGTGCTGGTCGATATTATCATGATGATGTCATCCTCCAAGATTAACAGATTAAAAAAAAAATTGAATAAAAAAAATTCCAATTTATGTGTTAGTTAGTTGGATAAAAAAAATTACAGCATTTTTTAGGGTGCTCAGTTTATAAATTATTTTTATAAACTTTCAAGGTCTTAGATCCACGCTCCTTTTGTTTGGATTCATAAGGACAATGTATAATTTGTTTAGGTCTATAAGGATAGTAGTTATCTGTAGAAATTCTTCCTTCTTCACATTCTCACCCTCTCTCTACAAATCCATTTTTTCTTCTTTCTTTCTCTCTCACAGCAGCACCAAAGCTCCGCCACCCTTTTCGGGCACTATCGGCAACCTTGCAGCCCTCCTCATTGTCGCCGGAGACGACATCACCAACGTCATCATTATCGCCGGAGCTCTTCTCAAGCAAATCTTATACCCTCATTTGATTTTTCTTGGCTTATGGTGATGCTTAGAACTTGAAGAGTACCATCAATATTGTGAGTTCAGATGAAGAGGAGGCAGAGTAAGGAGAGTTGGGATGTGACCTCAAATGGCAAAGGCGATTTTTTGATGAGATAAATGGTTGTAAGCCAACACGATGCGTCGCTTCCTCACCCCTTCTCCTCAGATTCGTTGCTCTCACATGCCCTTTCCTTAGATCTGTCGCTCTCCAACCATCAATTCTTTCTTTCTCTATCTGTTTTCTTTCTTTATCTGTTATCTTCAATTTTCCTAGGACCAAGGGCCATAGGTTCATTTTCTCTCTCTATTTGACAAGGCTCTTGAATAGAATAATAGAAATGTTAGTTTCAATAAATAACATTTATGTCTCTTTGTGTTCTTTAGTGTTGTCTGTGTTTGAAGAAATTAGCCTTTCTATGATTGCATTGTATGCTGCGGAGAGAAGGAAACCCAAACCCAGTTTGGATTGAGAGAAATGGTGATAGAGAAAGACGGAGGAGAGAGAGAGAGAGAGAGAGAAATGGATTTCATTTAGAGAGAGGCCAATTTCAACAGATAAAATAAAAATTTAAAATCAATTTGTGCAAATCCGTGTGAAATCAATTTGTATAGATAAAAATTTAGACAAATGTACAACAGATAAAAATTCAATAGATAGAAAATTCAACAGATAGAAATTCAATAGATAGACTTTTTTCAACAGATAGGTTATATACAAACATTTCAATAGATAGGAATTAATAGACTTTTGACTAGGGATGGCAATGAAGGGCAATGGGGTGGTTATTAATTCCCCATCCCCATTCCCCTATTAATTATTTTTCCCCATTCTCCATTCCCCATCCTCCACTTTCAATCTCACTATGTATTTAACTCATTATCTCTCTTCTCACACTCTCATACAGTAAGGTAATGTACGGTTAGGATTATTTTGTAATTATAGTATATAAAAACCCAGAATCATAAAAACCAAAAATAGATAAAATCATGCTCACAGTGCAAGAGACTCTCCTAGTACAGCTAAAAGTCAAGGGGAACAAATAAATTTGAATTATAAAACAAATAAATTTGAATTATAAAAGGACAAGGGGCATCACTTAATCAGACCACTAAACTATTACAACCCATACGCTGAGAACAAAAAGAGGGGAGAACAAAAACAGAGGAGACTTTTAATCAAAGCCTATATGAGATGGCACAAATTTTGACAATATAGACAAACAGAGAGCTTAGCAGACAACATAACCACATAAAACAGACACAAAAATGAAAACAGAATTCACACGAATCAAAAACATCAGCCATTTGTTTTACAGCTAGTTCTGGGCTTTGTTGTATGTGATTGTAAATATGATTCACTACACACCAAATGTCAAAATGATTAATGATTAAAAAAAAAAAAAGCAGCCATTTCATTGGCATCATAGACACATCAGATAGGTAAATACTCCATATCATTTACATTTAAAGTGAAGCATTAAACATGAACTTGAATGAATTTAATCAAATAGAACTTGAATTAGAAGTGAACCAATTTCAGTCTAACAATATCTCGTGAGAAGCAAACAACTTGAATTAGAGGCCATCATCATATTCATCACAACCAAACAAGCAAGCCTACCCATCATCAAACAACTCAATTATACAATTCTTTTAACAGAGAAGCAAAAATTTCAAAAAGAAGCTAATCATCACCGTCTTCAAATCAAACCCATATAAGAAAAAAAAATCATATTTCATATAAATATATACTATATAGATGTCTACAGTTACATATATAGTAGCGTAACCGAATTCATTTTCAAATTTTGTTGTGTTCTGTTGTTTAATCTTAGGTTGATTTCTCTATAATACTTATAATTGAAGTACATAATTGAGTTGTATACAAAATGTTATATGTATACTACAGAACATTTTGAACTGGTGAGCACTTCTGATACAGCAGAGAACGAGAGAACGAGAGAACGTGAGAGAACAAGATAGAGAAACTCACCACGCCGGAGACCCACCGTGGTAACGCCGATGGAGATCGCCGCCGCTAGATCGTTGCCTTCGCAAATCCGACGGAGATCGTTGCCGTCGCTGACAAGAATGAACCCTTGAACAAATTCAATTCCTGGATTTGTTCTCCAAGAAAATTGGTGACGAAAGAAGAATCGTGAAGGCGTAGGCAATGATTCTTACAGAGAGATCGAGATCGGGGAGAGAGGAAAGGACTTGGTAGACAGAGAATCGAATGGTGTATGTGAGAACGAGAACGAGAATGAGAATGAGAATGAGTGCAAATCTGACCTGAGGGTAGTTTGGGATGACTAAATAAGTGTACTTTTTTATTTTTTTTGTATTATGTGTAGAAAAAATAGAAAGGAGATGTTGATTGATGTGACCCAAAAAAGATAAAAAATGAAATAAGTGTACTTTTTTCTTTGTAGCCAAACTTGGCCTGAGATTGAGAATGAGAACCTAAACACAGATATGGGGAAATGGACGGGTGCCCATTCCCGACCCATATCCTATGGGTATCTTAAAAAAACCATTTAATTAACCCGATGGGTTAAAAAAGTGTGGAAAATCCCATATATTTAAATTGGATCTTCATAGCTATTCCTAGGATAGGATCGGGAGCTTCCATATACACACACCTAATTCCCTCAATACACACACTTAATGATATTTAATTTTATTACAATTTTATCCCTAAGTGAAATTACTATTTTAGACACCATTGTTAATTGAAAACATCTCAATGCACACCTTGACATTGTTGCATCGTGTGTGTAGGAGCACTGGTTTGGCATGCTTCTTTGAAAATTGCTTTGGCATTTCTGTAGGGTTTTCATTTTTTACAAAGGGCTGTGGCATTTCTGTGGGGAAAATATCATTGTGATGGAGGATTTGTCTTCTGAAAATCAGCAAATAAGTATTCATGTAAAGCAGAGCGAAGGAAATGTGAGTTTAAATTATTTTTTTTTTCGCAGCGTTGTTTGGATTACCAGAGCCGAATTTTGTTATTTTGTTCGGAAATGTACTACCGAAATAATTATGTATTTTTGGAAGTTGATGTCCGAATAAAGTGATAAATTTCGGAAGTTGTTGTCCAAAAAATGTATATAAATTCGGAAGTTGTTGTCCGAAAAATGTTAACTTATACAACATTCAACTTCAGAAATTTGAAAAAAAATTCGGACAACTACTTCTGAATGAAGTAAATTTTTTTTTTCCATTTTATATTCCAAATTTGCAAACTGCATACCAAATTTACAGTTTCAAATTGCAAATTAATCTTTATAATGCCATTAAAAATTTGTAATGTTATACAAAACATGCAGGAATATGTGTCAACTCAAGGAAGTCAGATTTGCGCGAATTTTGTGTTAGATTACACCACTCATTTCACAATTGAACAGGTTCAGTCTACGAAATTATAACGATTATGTTTTGAATTGCTCACCAAATGTAAATGTTTGATAATATTTATTTAACTTTGTAGGTATTCAAAAGTAAGGATGAATTGCTCAACTGGGTACGTGAAGTTGGAAAGAGAAATGGATTGGTCATTGTAATCAAAACGTCAGACTATGGTGGAGGGAAAAAAAGACCCAGGATGTATCTTGCTTGTGAGAGGAGTGGCCAATATAGAGCAACAAAGAAGTTAAAACATGATGGCAACAATACATCAAGAATAACCGGTACGAAGAAGTGTGGTTGTCCTTTTGATGGGTCCTATGAAAGGTTTGAAGAATTGACAAGCATATTGTCATACTTTGAAGACAGTCCTGGATACTCACATTGGATGACTATGCCAGACATGGGCCATCTTGTTACATCGTGCTACAATCTTGTGTTATACCACTTGTCTTTACAGCAATGTCTCACCTTTTTACCTCTTAGAACCGTGCCAGTACCTCAACTTGATAGACGTGAGATTGCCATTGGGTTTGTCAACGGAAATCATTTCGTGCAGATATAAAAGAAACTTATCAATTGCGTTTATGCATGTACAAGAAGTTATGAGGTATGACCACTAAGTCAATTATTATTTGGTGTAGGTTTTGTTGCAGCCAGGCCATCCAGTTCCTCCTATTGCCACTAATTGGAGAAAATACCGTCACCCTTGCGCTGTGGACTGGGATGATGCATATGTGCGTCGCATTCAACATTTCAAGGACATTATTCATGATAATGTAGCTACTCGAGAGACTTTTGATGTTGTTGATGTCGCATGACACATGTATGCATTTGACAATGTTACAATTATGGAAGAAATTAATGGATGTGTTTTTTATGTTGATGTGTTATGTTTTGCAATGTGGATTGAATGTTATCGACCATGGTTACCATTCCATTGTAATAAGAAAATATCATTTACAAAATCAACGACCATTGTTACCATTCCATTCTAATAATAAAATGTCATTACAATACCATTGTTGCCATTCCATTCTAATAAGAAAATATTAACCACTGTTACCATTACAACAATGTCATCTTACAAAAAACACCAAACAATATTCATCAACTAACAAAATAACATGTAACAACATAACATGTCACGAATCAGCTGTATGCCTACGCCGAGGCCTACGACTGTATGTCAACGTCGAAGATGGAAAGCGACCTCCAGCAGAACTAGGTCCAGCAGAACTAGGTCCAGCTTCGTCAATGTGCTGACCTTTAAGAACATGTGTCATACTCTCGATAGCCTGGTAAAGTCGATAAGGATGGCTAATCCCCTCCTGATAACCAGCGTCAATAATAGGATGTGAAATCTGCAGTGCATGTGCAATACGCTGCATTTGAAAAGAATATCACATTTTAGGGAACATATCAAAAAAAAAAAAAGTAAGTTACATATGCATCAGAGAGGATAATAGATTACATCCGCATGTTCGCTGAAATCCTGATGGTCGTGGACACGCGGTTCATCAGTGTGCTCGACATATAGGTGCGTGATATTCTTATATCAATCCATGTAACCCGGTACACATTGCCAAGGCTGACGAACTGGTGTGCTCCTTCGTTGCACAGACAACACGTGGTTATCCCAAGCCTCCCACATCCTATCCAAGTATCTGTACATGACGGGTATATCGTGCAGATATGTTGCCTCGTGCACCACGACTAGGAGCTAGCGGTGCATCTGGGATGGTTTGAACCCTGCCAAACTGCCTCAAAACTCTATCTGGATGATACGGTTCGACAACGTCTAAGCACTTTAAGCATCCATGGTAGAACGTAACCGGGTTACATGGATGCCGGTCTCTGCAGCTGTGGTATGGATCCCAAATAACCTGTAAACGTAAAAGTGTTTTTGCATTAAAGTACATAAAGGGTAAGATAAATGGAAGTCTTAAAATTATCGCAGGATGAGTAAACTTACATCAGTAGCTACTAAACTGTCAAGCTCGGCTCGAAAAGATTTCAAATGGTCAATGGAGGAACCCGCCTCTCTCCTAGATGCCCAATGGTACACATGTGGCATGTCTTCAGTGTAGCCCATGTTCTGATGAGGTCGGAATGCTCGGAAGTGCTCATAAATCCACGCCTCCAATAGAGTCATATAACCACCCATCTGTTTAACCCCAGACCGGCTAGCAAACCCCAACTGTCGATATAAAAATGCTAATGCAGCAGCACCCCAGGCATAAGTATGTATGGATCCCAAATCCATCAACAAGTCGAGGTAAACAACGGGAACCCTGCCGCCACTCTTGTCACTGAAGAGTGTACATCCCAACAGAAACAATAAATAAGCTCTTGCAGCGCACTGTATAGCCTCCTCGGGGTCTGAATCTGTGACACCAGCAAACTGACATCGCAACCATTCAAGCCTGACTGAATTGCCACTAGCAGAAGAAACCTCTTCATATGCTGCACGTTCAGTAATCCCCAAGTCATAAACGAGTAATGTAACTCCATGATGATCTGTCACATCTGGTATGCTGACTGATTTGCCTACAATGGGAAGGCCAAGAATAGTGCCAACATCATCCAGGGTCAAGGTCATCTCACCAACTGTCATGTGAAATGTGTTCGTCTCACGTTGCCATCTCTCAACAAAACATGAGACTAGAAGCTTGTTGACGAATCGATAAGTGCAACAAGCTAACTGTGACAGTCCAGACTGCTCAATAATGGCTTTGAATCTGGTGTTGTTCTCTACTAACCACCATGGCCATGCAAGGATCTTCGAAGAGTGATTATGACACTTTAGGGGCCCTCGTTCCTACAACACAAATGATATCTCATTACAAACTACCATACAACACACAAAAAAAAAAAAAACCAGTGAGTTGTCACATCGCCATTGCAAAATTGATACGAACACGTGATTTCCGATATCCGATCAACTTGATTTTTTGCAGGAATAATATACTCGACAAACCTTAAATGTAACGATTCAGATTATCCAAACGGGACCCAAAAGTGGACTCAATGGCCCGGACTAGACGGTCTAGTCCGATGAAGGACTGGAGACAGTCCAATCCCTAACACTGCGTTTGGTTCAAGGATTTGGGGAGAAATTTGGAAATGGAAATAGAAAATGATGGTAAAATATAAATAAAATATACCTATATTTCACATAATTTTACACTTTTTTTCCTTTCTCTTTCTAAATCTTTTTCCAATAATGAATTATTGGCACAAAATTATGGGTTCCAAGACTTGCTGCACTATAAAAGCATATCACTAGATCAAGACTGAGCTCACAGAAGTAGTACTCTAGTTAACAAACCTTAAATTTAGTCTAGTGAGGAATATTATGATGATACCCATTAAGCTCCTTAAAAAAATGGGTCTTTATGATGTCAAAATCCATGGCACTAGTGTTAAGGTAAGGGTAGTAGATCATGAAGACTTGATCAGCTTAGGCCTTTCCGAGTTAAGATCTGAGGTCACTACTCCAACTGTTGTTGGACTTGTGGTTAAGGAGTCTATGATGTTGAAACTTTGTGTCGGAAATCGGTGCCTGGTGATTCTAATGAATCGCTTGGGTTCAAATTCAATACCTCAATGCCTAAAGAATTTTCTGGAAGACCAAGAAATTTGTTTCGTGGGTGTCAATTTGATTAGCGGAGTAGTTACGAGGCGCGGGCTAATTTTACACTCCTATCAATGTGTATGTTAACATATCAATGTGAATATTCACATTGTCACTTCAATGCCAATACTTCAATGACACAAATGGATGGATGAAGCTTTTGGAGAGGAACGGTGGAGAGTGTGAGAGATGGGTGTGT